CATTGGCCCAGAAGTCGACACATTCGGTCCAGTAGTCGATACTCTGTCATTTTACCCGGATTGCCGTGTCTGACGGGTCCATGCAGCCTGGCTACCTTCCTATGCCTCTCGGTCGCCTTTTTGGCCATCATGCGGCCCTCTATGCGAGGTGCTGTTCGGGGTTTTCAGCCTTCACACTGAGAAAAATTTTTGGTTCCCGGCACTAAACACTTGTTTAATGCGTCCCACTTTATGCCCGGGACAAAAAGTTTAGTGCTGGCCAATAGAATTTCCGAGGTGTAGCAATAATGGGGTTTAGCGCCAGGCGCCAAACACGTCTTGTGCTACAGGCTGAGGTGAACTTTGTTTGATGAACGAAGTATGCAAGATTGAGTAGTTCGGATGTCACCGCTAGATTGCACCACTATCGAAATGCCTGCCTTACATCTCGCTAGGTGCCCCGGGTGCACACAGCATCAGGTGCTTGGGCAGTTTCTCGTAATCACTGGCGCATCTGTCGGTTGGGTGCCGCCACTCGCCGCCATTTGAAACCATGGCGCAAATTTTAGAATAGGAACTTCGTGCACGACAAGACAAGTGCAAGGCCATTCCACCCGCATGAAAGACAACTGCACTACTTCACTCCCTTGTTGCAGAGTTTGGACCAAATCCAGAAAAACAAATATTGTCCATGTCATCGTACCCAGTTAACGTTCGGGAAAAAAGACTTAGTTAATGCCTGAGCTTGCATATTCTTTAGTGCCACTGCCTGATCTATTTAGCGCCTGGCACCAAAGCCGGCGCACTAAACGCCTTTTGCCCCTGGAAATAAACACTTTAGTGCGTCGAAAAACTTTCGATCTGGGCACAAAAGTTTTAGTGCCTGGCACCAAAAATTTTTCTCAGTGCAGGCGACCTTTTTTGAAATATGGTGAAAAACAATTTTTTCTAGTTCTAAAAAACGCCGTTTTTCGGCTATATATCGGAAAATAATTTTCTTAGCGCAATAAGTCTAAAATGAAACAGTTCTGTCGCGTCAAAGCGCACCTGATAATATATCGGACGACACGATGTGACAAACGAAAACCGGGGAGTGCCGGCAATAGCTTGGTAATTAAACCTTAGTTTGCCACCAAAAATGTCTTGTGGGCAAGCTTAAGATGTTATCGCACAGCGTATCGACTCCTGAGTTATCTCCCTATATAAATTCCACACCGAACCGCATATAGCCGTTACCGGGATTGTGCCTACGGGGGCCAACGGGGTGAAAAGTGTCAATTTCCCTCAATGACCCAACTTCGAACCCTTAGAGAGGGGTTGAAGGTCAGACAATGAGTCAAGAATGGACTGTGCCGCAAGTCTTAGGATATCTTGAAGTACTTTATTCCAGGTAAACTTGTTCAATCCCAGGTTTTCACTCCACCCTAGCGGCCAGCCGCCCGGACAGGCACGACTGCGGCGGTAGACACGTTCACTTTACCAAAAGTGTTCGGATTTTGAGCGGGCTGGTTCCTAAAGTGTTCTACTTCCAAAATGATGAACAAAAATATTTTTTTCAGATTTTTTGGACCAGGGGAAAAGGTCCCCCTAGACCTTCAAATTTAACATGGGGCTGTTATGGAAGAAAAGCCAAAAAAGGGAAATTTGCCATTTTCGGCTTCCAAATGCAATTTAAAAAAAAAAAAAACTCTTTCGGAAATGGAATCTACGCGTCAAAACGCATCCGGAGACGTGCGACACTTCATAGACGTACCAGAGGTTCTTGAGCTCTGCTATAGAAAAAAGGGCGAAAAAGGCTGATTTCATGGAAAATTCTAGAAAAATTGTACAAATACGAATAGTGTGTTAATAAAGTGTGGCACGTTTCCAGATGCGTTTTGACACGTAGATTCCATTTCTGAAAGAGATTTTTTTTATAACTGCATTTGGAAGCCGATAATGGCAAATTTTACTTTTTGGACTTTTCTTCCATAAGAGCCCAATGTTAAATTTGAAGGCCTTGGGGGACCTTTTCCCCTGGTCCAAAAAATCTGAAAAAAATATTTTTGCACATCATTTTGGAAGTAGAACACTTTAGGAACTAGCCCGCTCAAAATCCGAACACTTTTGGCAAAGTGAACGTGTCTACCGCGGCGGTGCAATTAGGGTTCCACCCCCCCCCCCCTCGACCCTTGCGTCTGTTGACACTTTTCTCAGGCAACCAGGGCACATTCTCAGAGAAATACTTTGCACAAATGGGGCACTGAACGCAAACTCTACCATTCGGCACAGTATTGACACCTGGTGCCTTACTGATGTCATTATGATGTGTAACGAACAAGAAAATGAAGGGCACGCGATCCCAACAACATTTCACGTTGACAAAAGGCCCTAGTTGTCGGAATAAGCCTGTATGAAGGGAGCACACACTCAAAATAAAGTGAGTGTCGACTACTGGAACAGATGTCTATTTCTGACCCAGTAGTCGACACCACCATTTTACGCCCCTGACCGAAATTTTCAAAAACCTAAAAGGGGAAGATAATACATGTCTTTGACAACAACACAAACGGCCTCCGGAACTACTCGAGTGAATGGCAGCCTCACAGAACCTTCCGAGCAAACACCTGCCCACTACTCCGGAGCTAAGAAATGATGGCTCGATGTGACGCGACGAGCAGTGTTTTGTGCGAAGCGCTCCCTACCGGCTCCCGGAGGTGGCACAGAATCGGTAATGGGTTCGTTATAATCTCAATAGAGTGCGCTACAACCCGGCAAAACGCGCGAGACTCTAACGTTAACTTCTTCGCGGAAAATCAATCGCAATGTTGAAAGTGTCGACTACTGGTGTACTGTCGACTACTGGGCCGACTGGGCCCCTAACCCTACTCCCTTTCATCTCCTTAGGGGTGGTTGCCATGATTTGCCTTAGGCGTTTCGTTTTTAAGGAGTGAACCTTAAGATATCCTGAAAAATTGAAGTCTCTAGCACATTTCCTTGTCATGGAACAGAGAGACAGACACACAGACAGACACGAGGTCGTTTGCATAAGCCCGCTTTTTCAAAGCAGAAGGGCTTGCTAAAAGGCGTGCTCTTGTATCATGCGCAATGTACTTGAATCGAGTGCTATGGACTTGATAGTCTCAACCCCAATCGTACCCGAGTATTTAGGCTCAAATCAACGCCAGTTTGTTCTCAAATCATTCCCCTTCGCGCTTGAATGATACGCATGATCTTGTTTCAAGACTAAATTGGGCTTGAATTGAGCGCAAAAAAGAAACCTGAGACTTTCAAGCACAGACTGTTCTGGGTGTAAAACAAGCAGGCACGCCCTTCCGCCAAACGGAGTTGCCAGCTCCACTTCGCTGCGCCGGCAACTCCGTTCGGCAGGGGCCGGGCCTGCTTGGCCTGCCGGCGGCGATGGTCGGGCCTTCGGCCGGCCATTTCAGTCTCGCGATTTACTGAAGTGCATCATCAAATAAATAATGTGACCGGTATATCACTTTGCATATTTCAGTAAAAATAAAGCGTCCTGTGGGGGGCCTGCGGCCCTACAAATTTGCTCCTTGGACATGACAAAAGACTGTAACGGGGCAACACCGTGACTACACCCTACCCTTCTGCTTTGCTTACAAAAAATTAACCCAAGCAGTTTCTAGATTGTATATTGTTTGTCAAACAGTCTTAAAACTTGACTTTTTGCCATTGTTTTCAACATATCCACCTCTAAGGCCAAAACAGTGAAAGATACGGCAAATCCGAGGGTAGTTCCTTATTCAGAATGTGTTATTTTGGGGCGGTACTCCCTCTGACATTTTACGATTGGACGCCTCCTTAAACGTCTTTATGTGCAACGTGGTCATTTTCGCCGTATTTTCGTCGAAAAAAGCACTCTAGCGCCCAAACGGTGCAAGATAGAGTCAAACAGACAAAATGTTCGCCCAAAGGGTTCTACTTTCACGAGTTACCCCTAAGAACACCATAAAAAAATATTTTTTTCCTACTTTTTGGACCAACCCCTATTTCTTTGTTACCCCCTTTCACCCCCTTAGGGGTGGTTGCCAGGATTTGCACCAGGCGTTTCGTTGTCCAGGAGTGACCCCTAAGATACCCTGAAATTTGTAGACCTCTAGATCATCTCCTCCCTTGATACACGGACGACGGACAGACAGACAGACACGAGAGCGGTTGCATAAGCCCGCTTAAATGCTTTTTAGCCCGCCCTTCTGCTTTGAAAAAGCTATCTAGCGGGCTTATGCAAACGACCTCGTGTGTGTCTGTCTGTCTGTCAGTGTGTCTGTGTGTCTGTGTGTCTGTCTGTCTGTTCCACTAGAAGGAGATGTGCTTTTCAAATTTTCAGGGTATCTTAAGGTTCACTCCTAGAAAGGAACGCCTACGGCAAATCCTGGCAACCAACCCTAAGGGGCTGAAACGGGGTATCAAAGAAAAGAGGATAGGTCAAAATAGTTTTAAAAAAATATTTTTTTTAGGATCTCCTAAGGGATAACTCGTGGAAGTAGACTCCTTTGATCGAAACTTTGGTCCGTTTGGCTCTATCTCTCACCGTTTGGGCGCTGGAGGGTCTTTTTTGACGAAAATAAGCTAAAAATTGCTGTAGTCAACATTTAGTTGTACAGGAAGCCCC